GCTAACCTATGATGATTATGATTGTTGTCATCTCCCCTATACAGACCAAACCCTCCGGTTTATATAGACACCGGAGGGGGATAGGGTTTACACAGAGTCGGTTACAAAGAAGGAAATCTAACATCCGGATCGCCAAGCTTGTCTTCCACGCAAAGGAGAGTCCCATCCGGACACGGGGCGAAGTCTTGAGTCTTTGTATCTTCATAGTCCAACAGTCCAGCCAAAGTATATAGTCCGGCTGTCCGGATACCCCTTAATCCAGGACTCCCTTAGTCGGTGGAGCTCCAGGGGGCCCACGAGGCAGGGGGCACGCCCTGGGGGGCGCCCCCCACCCTCGTGGACAGGGTGTTGGCCCCTGTTGTTGATTCTTTCGCCAATATTTTTTATTAAATCCAAAAAGTTGCTCCGTGGATTTTCAGGTCATTCCGAGAACTTTTATTTCTGCACAAAAATAACACCATGGCAGTTCTACTGAAAACAGCGTCAATCCAGGTTAGTTCCATTCAAATCATGCAAGTTAGAGTCCAAAACAAGGGCAAAAGTGTTTGGAAAAGTATATATGATGGACACGTATCAATAAGTAACATGTATATCAAATATACCTTTGTTCACTTTGCCATTCTTCTTATCCGCCAAATGTTTGGGGCAGTTTCGCTTCTAGTGACCATTTCCTTTGCAGTAGAAGCACTCAGTTTCAGGCTTGGGTCCAGCTTGGGGCTTCTTCCCGGGAGTGACAACTTGCTTGCCATTCTACTTGAAGTTCCCTTTCTTTCCCTTTGCCCTTTTCTTGAAACTAGTGGTCTTGTTAATCATCAACACTTGATACTCTTTGATTTCTACCTTCGTCGATTTCAGCATCACGAAGAGCTTGGGAATCGTTTTCGTCATCCCTTGCATACTATAGTTCATCACGAAGTTCGAGTAACTTGGTGATGGTGACTAGAGAACTCTGTCAATCACTATCTTATCTGGAAGATTAACTCCCACTTGATTCAAGCGATTGTAGTACCCAGACCTTTTGAGCACATGCTCACTAGCTGAGCTATTCTCCTCCATCTTTTAAGAAAAGTACTTGTCAGAGGTCTCATACCTCTCGACACGGGCATGAGTCTGAAATACCAATTTCAGCTCTTGGAACATCTCATATGCTCTGTGGCGTTCAAAATGTTTTTGAAGTACCGGTTCTAAGTCGTAAAGCATGGTGCACTAAACTATCATGCAGTCATCATATTGAGCTAGCCAAACATTCATAACGTCTGCATCTGCTCCTGCAATAGGTCAGTCACCTAGTGGTGCATCAAAGACATAATTCTTCTGTGCAGCAATGAGGATAAACCTCAGAACACGGACCCAGTCCGCATCATTGCTACTATCATCTTTCAACTTAGTTTTCTCTAGGAACATATAAAAAACATAGGCAAGCTACAACCCAAGCTATTGATCTACAACATAATTTGCAAAATACTATCAAGACTAAGTTCATGATAAATTAAAGTTCAATTAATCATATTACTTAAGAACTCCCACTTAGATGGACATCCCTCTAGTCATCTAAGTGATCACGTGATCCATATCAACTAAACCATGTTCGATCATCACGTGAGATGGAGTAGTTTTCAATGGTGAACATCTCTATGTTGATCATATCTACTATATGATTCATGCTCGACCTTTTGGTCTCCAGTGTTCTGAGACTATATCTGCATATGCTAGGCTCGTCAAGTTTAACCCGAGTATTCTGGGTGTGCCAAACTGGCTTGCACCCGTTGTATGTGAAGTAGGGCTTATCACACCCGATCATCACGTGGTGCCTCGGCACGACGAACTGTAGCAACGGTGCATACTCATGGAGAACACTTATACCTTGAAATTTAGTGAGGGATCATCTTATAATGCTACCGCCATACTAAGCAAAATAATATGCATAAAAGATAAATATCACATGCAATCAAAACATGTGACATGATATGGCCATCATCATCTTGTGCCTTTGATCTCCATCTCCAAAGCACCATCATGATCTCCATCATTGTCGTCTCGCCCACTATTGCTTCTACGACTATCACTACCGCTTAGTGATAAACTAAAGCAATTACATGGCGATTGCATTTCATACAATAAAGCGAAAACCATATGGCTCCTGCCAGTTGCCGATAACTTTGTTACAAAACATGATCATCTCATACAACAATTTATATCACATCATGTCTTGACCATATCACATCACAACAAGCCCTGCAAAAACAAGTTAGACGTCCTCTACTTTGTTGTTGTAAGTTTTAGGTGGCTACTACGGGCTTCTAGCAAGAACTGTTCTTACCTATGCATCAAAACCACAATGATTTTTCGTCAAGTGTGCAGTTTTAACCTTCAACAAGGATCGGCCGCGTAGTCAAACTCGATTCAACTAAAGTTGGAGAAACAGACACCCGCCAACCACCTATTTGCAAAGCACGTCGGTAGAATCAGTCTCATGAACGCGGTCATGTAATGTCGGTCCGGGCCGCTTCATCCAACAATACCGTCGAATCAAAGTAAGACGTTGGTGGTAAGCAGTATGACTATTATCGCCCACAACTCTTTGTGTTCTACTCGTGCATATATCATCTACGCATAGACCTAGCTCGGATGCCACTGTTGGGGAACGTAGTAATTCAAAAAAGTTCCTACGAACACGCAAGATCTATCTAGGAGATGCATAACAACGAGACGGGAGAGTGTGTCCACGTACCCTCGTAGACCGAAAGCGGAAGCTTTATGTTAACGCGGTTGATGTAGTCGAACCTCTTCATGATCCAACCGATCTAGCACCGAACGTACAGCACCTCCGAGTTCAGCACACGTTCAGATCGATGACGTCCCTCGAACTCTTGATCCAGCAGAGGGTTGAGGGAGAGTTTCGTCAGCATGATGACGTGATGATGGTGTTGATGATGTGATCCGCGCAGGGCTTCGCCTAAGCACTACGATGATACTATCGGAGGAGTAAACGGTGGAGGGGGGCACCGCACACGGCTAAGACATTGTTGGGCCCTTGGGGTGCCCCCCTGCCCCCGTATATAAAGGAGGGAGGAGGAGGCCGGTCACCAGGGGCGCGCCAAGGGAGGGGGGGTCCTACTAGGACTCCACTCCTAGTAGGATTCCCCACCCCCCTTGTTTCCTTCTTATGGAGGTGGAAAGGAGGAAGGAGAGGGAGTAGGAGAAGGAAAGGGGGGTGGTGCCCCCTTTCCCTAGTCCAATTGGGCCTCCTCCCTTGTGGGGGCGCACCAGCCCCTTGTGGGCTGGTTAGCCTCCCTCCCATGGCTCATGTGGCCCATATCTTCCACCGAGGGGTTCCGGTAAGCCTTCCGGTACTCCGGTTTGTACCCGATACACTCCGGAACCCTTCCGGTGTCCGAATACCACCTTCCAGTATATCAATCTTTACCTCTCGACCATTTTGAGACTCCTCGTCTTGTCTGTCATCTCATCCGGGACTCCTAACAAACTTCGGTCATCAAAACACGTAACTCATAATACAAATCGTCATTGAATGTTAAGCGTGCGGACCCTATGGGTTCGAGAACTATGTAGACATGCATGATCGAGACACATCTTTGATCAATAACCAATAGCAGAACTCGGATGCTCATATTGGCTCCTATGTATTCTACGAAGATCTTTATCGGTCAAACCGCACAACAAAATACGTTGTTCCCTTTGTCATCGGTATGTTACTTGCCCGAGATTCGATCGTCGGTATCATCATACCTAGTTCAATCTCATTACCGGCAAGTCTCTTTACTCGTTCCGTAATGCTTCATCCGGTAACTAACTCATTAGTCACATTGCTTGCAAGGCTTATAGTGATGAGCATTACCGAGAGGGCCCAAAGATACCCTCCGATGCATGGAGTGACAAATCCTAATATCGATCTATGCCAACCCAACAAACACCTTCGGAGACACCTGTAGAGCATCTTTATAATCACCCAGTTACGTTGTGACGTTTGATAGCACACAAGGTGTTCCACTGGTATCGGGAGTTGCATAATCTCATAGTCAGAGGAACATGTATAAGTCATGAAGAAAGCAATAGCAATAAAACTTATCTATCATTATGTTAAGCTAACGGATGGGTCTTGTCCGTCACATCATTCTCTAATGATGTGATCCCGTTCATCAAATGACAACACATGTCTATGGTCAGGAAACATAACTATCTTTGATTAACGAGCTAGTCAAGTAGAGGCATACTAGGGACGCTTTATTTTGTCTATGTATTCACACATGTACTAAGTTTTCGGTTAATACAATTCTAGCATGAATAATAAATATTTATGATGATATAAGGAAATATAAATAACAACTTTATTATTGACTCTAGGGCATATTTTCTTCAGTGGGGCCAAGTGTACACACCTAATATATGTTATGAAGGAGTTTTGAAGATGGAGAAGATTTTGAACATTATCACTTGCAAGGTGTTGCATGAGATGAACTCTTTATTGGATGTACCATACACCAAAGAGGAGATTAAATGCACAGTTTTCCGTATGTCTCTTTTCTACTCCCTCCGTTCTTAAATATAAGTCTTCGGAGAGATTCCACTATGGACCACATACGGAGCAAAATGAGTGAATCTATACTCTAAAATGCATCCAGATACATCCGTATGTGGTCCATAGTGAAATCTCTACAAAGACTTATATTTAGGAACAGAGGAAGTATATGAAATTTAGCAAATCCGAAAAAAAAAATACAACCGTGGGGCGCGTGCATCCTAGCAGCTGCATCAGCAGAAGCAAGCTGGCCGGGTGCCGCGTGGGGCGCGTCGGCGGTTGCGACGAGCCTTGACCGGTGGTGCGTGCCACCCGCCAACAATAGGCATGTCGTCAAAACCGTGGCGCGCACGGGCGCTCCTCCTGGTTTCCCTCCAAATCGGGCCCTCCGCCCGCCTCATGCGACGTCCTCCGCCAGCTCCCTCCCGCCCCCTCGCACCTCGCCGTCCTCATTCCTTCCATGGCGGAGAGGGCGCTGCCGCCGCCCGTGCCCGAGCAGGCCTCCGCCGCCCTCGCCGCGCCGCGCCAGCTCAGGGCGCCGCCGCATCAGACCTACGTCGTCAAGGTCCAGAAGGACCAGATATACCGCGTGCCGCCCCCCGAGAACGCCTACCTCGCCGAGCGGTACCGTGCGGAGCGCGCCGGCGGCGGCAAGAGCGGCGGCGGCTCGTCGTGCTCGACTACCCTCCTGCTCACGCTCGGCCTGGCGGCCGCCGCGGTGCTGCTCCTGGGCGCCAGCGTCTGGCTCTCCGTCGTGGTGATGCGGCCGGCCCCGCCGAGCTTCTCCGTGAACAGGCTCTCCGCGCGCAACGCGTCGGCGCAGCGCCACGCGGAGGTGGACTACGACTTCTTCCTCACGGCGATCAACCCCAACAAGGTGACCGCGCTGTGGTACAAGGACGGGGGCACGGCCAGGCTGCTGCACCAGGGCACGGCCCTGGCCAAGGCTGGGGACGTGGGGACGCCCGAGGACGGCGGCGTGGACGCCAAGGACTTCAACGTGCTGCTGCACGGCGGCGGCCACGCGACACCCAAGGCGGTGGAGAAGGCGCTCAGGGGGTCGAAGAAAGAGGCCGTGGCGCTGGAGCTCGCCGTGGAGTTCCCCGTGCAGGTGCACGTGGGCGCACTCGCGTTCGCGGCCAAGAGGCTGGCCGTGGCGTGCGAGATCAGAACGGCGGGGCTAGGGAAGCACGTGCACATTTCGTCGCAGAAGTGCAGGAGCAGCTTCGGGAAGTGACCGACGCCGACCGCCGCGCGCCGCGGTGGCGCGCCGGCGCTTTGTGCATAGTGGGATCGAGGGCCGAACGGGCAGGGCACGGCGACGTGTCAAGTGTGGATGGTGGGATCGTACGTGTACGTCGCGTGTAAATGTGTCTTTTAGCTCGTGCTTGATGACTCTCGAGGCTCTTTGTGTGCAAATATGTGTAAGTTGTTACTAACCGGAATCTGGACTTGCTGGACTTGTGTATAATCATGGAAGATTGTTCACTCGTGATACATGTGTCCTAGAGGTGTACCATCCACTTCGGTTTCCTGCAATCCTCAAATCTAACCCATATGCTCGGGTTGTGCGGCACCCTTCGAACACAATCCATATATGGGGCGGATTTGTGGCTGCTTGGACGCGTCCGTCACGTCAGATTGATGGACGGACGCGAAAACATTTTGCTCCGTCGAGGGAGGTCACCGATTTGGTGGCTGCATTCATGGCGTGGGTCGGTGCGCCGTCCGAGGGGCCAAGAACCTGACTATTTAACCTGAACGGCGAGGGCAAACCCTAGCCGCCACATCGCACCCCCTTTCCTTTCGTCTCCGCCACCATTGCTTCCCCATATGTGCCTCCTTACGCTCTGACCCTTGCTATCAGCCATGGTTTGGCAGAAGCCGGAGCGTTGGGCAGAGATAGCGGCCGAGTCTCTCGCATTGCGCCGGCATGAAGGGCATGGAGGAGCAGGCGTCGGGCATGGAGGAGGCAGAGGCGGAACAGTTGGAGGCGAAGCAAGCGGGTGTTGTCGCCCACGTGACGCTCGTCACCGATCTCGGCATCGTGGTCGAAAACCAAACCATCCTCGGTTCGCCCCAGTCCGAGCGGGAGCTGGCGGCGAACCACCACCTTATCCACCTGCGCTATGTGAGGAAGGAGCGGCTCTTCGCGGACGATGGCGAGGAGGAAACGCCGGAGATCCGCCCTGCCGCCTGACCACGAGGTTGGCGGTTTCGACAAGAGGGTCATCTACATCTTGATGATGACAAGTAGAATTAGGGCAGATTGCTTTTTGAATATACCAGCTTGTTCGTTTCATACATGGAGTAGGTATGATGAAACAAACGTTGCACGAAGGTAGCATGAGAATGAGGATCTGCAAATGTGGGATGTGGTTGCAATCGTAGATAAACAAGGGGTGACCGGCTTCACGTCCGTGAACATATAGGGGGTCATATTTGATCAGGATGTACATAATTGTTTTTCTACTGCCCTGCCCAGTCCTGCCAAGTAGCAGGCCCGGGAGCCGGTAAAACGTCTCGAAGCAGGTGACCCAGCGTCGCCGTTCCTTTTTTTGCTCTGTGCGGAGGGCCTGTCTTCTTTGTTGAAGTACTACAATGTCGGATACATTGACAGAGGCATAAGAGTCAGCTATCGATCACCTTGGGTGACACACTTACTATTTGCAGATGACAGTTTGATCTTCATCAGCGCAAACACCCACAGTGCGGCGAGACTCAATGAGATTTTGAGAATATATGGTGAGGCTTCGGGACAGTGTGTGAATCGCGCAAAGAGCGCCATCTACTTCAGTTCGAATACACCGGCCCAGCTCAAGCATCATTTGAAAGCCATCCTCAACATCGACGTTGAGGCCTTTAGTGAGCGTTACTTGGGACTGCCTACGGCGGTCGGGCGCATCACGAGCGGGGCCTTCGATCATATTGGGGAGAGAGCTCGCGGACGGATACAAGGATGGTCCAAAAAATTACTTGCATGCGCAGGTCGTGAAACATTGCTGAAATCTGTAGTTCAAGCTATCCCCACATATTCGATGAGCACTTTCTTACTATCGAAAAAGGTTTGCAAGAGCCTGGCTTCACCAATGGCGAAATATTTTTGGAGCAGCTCAATTGACAAGAATGCATTGCATTGGGTCTCCTGGAATAATTTGGCGACACCAAAGTTCAAAGGAGGGATGGGTTTTCGGGACCCTCATCAGTTTAATCTTGCGCTACTTGGAAAGCATGGTTGGCGGTTTATGACCAACCCTAATTCTCTGTGTGCAAGGGTTCTTAAAGGTCGCTACTTCCCTGATACAGATTTTATGCAGGCCACGATGCCAAAGTCTGCATCTGCTACATGGCGAGCTATCATTGCAGGAAGGGAAGCTTTGCGTGCGGGTCTCATTTAGAGAGTCGGAGACGGGAACTCCATTGATGTGTGGTGAAAGGATCGATATGGTTGACTAGAGGGGGGGTGAATAGGCAACTAACAATTTTTAGACTTTTCTTTAACAAATTAAAACTTGCAATGAAATAGGTTGTCTAGATGTGCAACTACGTGGTCAACCTATATGATGCAAAGACAATAAGCACACAAGAAAGCAATGGATATAACTCAAGTAAGCTTGCAAAAGTAAAGGGACAAGATAACCAAGAGTGGAGCCGATGGAGACGAGGATGTGTTACCGAAGTTCCTTCCTTTTAAGGGGAAGTACGTCTCTGTTATAGCGGTGTGGAGGCACAATGCTCCCCAAGAAGCCACTAGGGCCACCGTAATCTCCTCACGCCCTCACACAATGCGAGATGCCGTGATTCCACTATTGGAGCCCTTGAAGGCGGCAACCGGACCCTTACAAACAAGATTGGGGCTATCTCCACAACACTTGGAGGCTCCCAACAACACCACGAAGCTTCACCACAATGGAGTATGGCTTCGAGGTGACCTCAACCGTCTAGGGTGCTCAACACCCAAGAGTAACAAGATCCGCTAGGGATAAGTGGGGGGAATCAAATTTCTCTTGGTGGAAGTGTAGATCTGGGCCTTCTCAACCAATCCCGAGCAAACCAACAAGTTTGATTGGCTAGGGAGAGAGATCGGGCGAAAATGGAGCTTGGAGCAACAATGGAGCTTTGGGGGAAAGAGGTAGGTCAACTTTGGGGAACAAGACCCCTTTATATAGTGGGAGGAACAAACCAACCGTTATCCCACTCACCAGCCCCGCACAGAGCGGTACTACCGCTAGGGAAGGGCGGTACTACCGCTCCGGGCGGTACTACCGCTCGACCCAGCGGTACTGCCGCGCTGCCCGGGGCCCTGACCCCAGGGCGGTACTACCGCTCCGGGCGGTACTACCACTTCGACCCAGCGGTACTGATGCGCTGCCCAGGGCCCTGACCCCAGGGCGGTACTACCGCTCGGGAAGAGCGGTACTACCGCTTAGGGTGGTACTACCGCTCCTACTACCTCCCTTAGTGCCGCAAAACCCGACACGAAAAACTTCGTTCGAGAATCGAGGCGGAAGTAGCCCACACGCACAGCGGTACTACGGCCGAAAGTCCCAAGCGGTACTACCGCTCGGAGAGCGGTACTACCGCTTGGAGCGGTACTACCGCTCTGAGAGCGGTACTACCGCTGGGGAGCTTCGGCGGTACTACTACTGTGGTCGCGGTACTACCGCTAGGGCAGAGCAAAGCATAGCAAGGGGAAAACGGCAGCTCCAGAGATGCGGAAGGAAAGACGACGGGGTGTGAAAAGGATGTGTACGTGTGATTCCACCCAAGTCTTACCAAAGCGGATCCCCTCTTGATAGTACGGTGACTCCTACAAAACTAGTCCACCAATAACGAAATGAAGGAGCTACACCGTCTTGAATTACAACACCGACGGGAGGAAATCGTCTCGTGCCAATGGATGAATCTCTGAAAGAACTAAACGCACACGATTAGTCCGCACAAGCATTGTCATCAATCACCAAAACATATTGGGGATAAATATGCCCTTACAATCTCCCCCTTTTTGGTGGATTGATGACAATACCGGATTTGTGCAATATGATAGATATAGGATAAGCGCAAAAGCACAACCGTCCTAAAATGTAGAAGGGCTCCCCCTGGATGTGTGCTACCTAGAAAAGTGCTTTGGACTGCACGGCACAGATGCCAGGATCAATGCTCCCCCTACATTTTAGAGACCAACTACCTAAGCAAGATATGAGAGCAACATATATATAATAGGATAAGCATGGAACTCATAAGCTAGATAGACATAGATAATGATACGGAAAGGTAAGGTAGCATATGTCTCACACCATATGACTCGAGCTAAGGTCTTACTGACAGAACCAGAACTTAGGTCTCACAGACACAAACCAAAAAAAGCAACAAGCGAAAGCACAAGCACAAAAGACGGAAGACACAAAGCGCAAATCCCTAAACTCTCTCCCCCTTTGGCATCGAGACACCAAAAAGGAGAGGGAGTGCTGCTACGGCTCCAGGTGAAGGCAAACGAGGGACACCCATCAGATCTCAGAGGGATCATCTGCGCTACCATCGTCAGCCGGGAAGTGCTCAGCATCAGAATCAGTCTAAGGGCAGTGCTGCTGAATCCACTCCTCCTCCTCGGTAAGCTGATCCTCAGAACCACTAATCACAATAGCACCCATCTGACGCATGAGCTCCTTGTGGCGACCTCGGGCCTTCTTCTCAGCCACATGAGTCATGTACTGACCGTGAGACTCCATGCAAAACAGCTTCTTCACCTTGATCTTGAGCTTCTTGGCCCAAGAGGGCTCTGCCTCAGAGGGCACGTAGTCGTCATCTTCATCCTCAGCCTCAGCCCCAATCTCCTCCTCAGTCTCCATGGCAGCAGCAGATGAAGGAACTCCAGTCCTAGGGGTCTGAGTGCCCCAGTTATCCTTCTTCCTCAGACGCTTGACATCATGAGAAACCAACTCTCCAATCTCCAGCACCACCTTGGGATAGACACGATCCCAGGCCTTCTCAATGAGCAGCATAATGAACGGACCATAAATCGGGCACTTGCGCTCGAAGATAGCAGAAACCAGCTCAGACCACATAACATGAGAGATATCCAAGGACTCTCCGGTGCTCTGCACCTTCTCCCGCTGACAAAAGAGAAGCATGTCCACGAGATAAGAGTGAACCTGGTCCAGATTCCCAATGCGAGGGAAAAGAGTCTCTCTGAAGATACGGTGAAGAATATCCAGATAGGCAGGCAGCTCATAGGTC